GGGAAGTGTGCTGTTATGTTCACCGGCGTTAGGTCCAGCCTGTGTGGCTCAGTGGTGGAGCACCGACCCCTGAACCAGGAGGTCACGGTTCGATGTCCTGGTCAGGGCACATGCCTGGGTTTCGGGCTTGATCCCCACCCAGTAGGGGGTGGGGAGGAGGCAGCCGATCCATGATTCTCTCTCTTCATTGATGTTTCTCTCTCTCCCTTCCTCCCTCTGAAATCCATAAAAAAAAACACATTATAAAAAGGAAAGAAAAGACTACATTAGTACATGGATTAGTAAAATGCCCGTCAGTGGATGCTGAAGAAATTTTCAGTGAATGTTGAGTAAATTAAGAATGGACTCAACCCGTGGGATTTTTTCGTCAGTTCCATCATTCTCCATTTGGGTTGTTGGAGGGACTTGGATTTGCCACTTTGGCAGCGGGTGGGTGGCAGCACAAGGAAGGCGAGGGTTTGAGGGAATCGGGGCTCATCCCTTAGTGAAACGGGCCTAGTGAGGGGAAGAGAGGAGGCCCTGTGAGGTGGCACAGCGCTGGCCGCTGGGGGATGGCCTGGTTTCCATAGAAACAGCCGTGCCCGGCCGGCGGGGCTCAGAGCTTGAGCATCGATCTGTGAACCAGGAGGTCAGGGTTCGATTCCCGCTCAGGGCACAGGCCCGGGTGGCGGGCTCCATCCCCAGTGGGGGGCGTGCAGGAGGCACCGATCCGTGATTCTCTCTCATCATGGATGTTTCTCTCTCTCTCCCTCCCTCTCCCTTCCTCTCTAAACAAAAAGTACAGTGGGGCCTTGACTTACGAGTGTCCCGACTAACGAGTTTTTTGAGATACCAGCTGTCTCTCGGCCGATTTTTTGCATCGAGTTGACAGAGTAATTTGAGTTAACGAGCTCCTTAACGAGCTCGGTCTCAGAACGAATTAAACTCGTAAGTCAAGGCCCCACTCTATTTTAAAATATTCCTTTGATTCTATGATCTACCAGAAAATATGCCCAAGTGATGCTAAGGATGAAATTACCCCTTACAAAGAGGCCAATTATATATATATAATTGATTTTTGACAGAGAGGAAGCGAGAGGGATAGAGGGCCAGAAACATCGATGAGAGAGAAACATCAATCAGCCACCCCCTGCACACCCCTCACCCGGGATGTGCCCGCAACTAAGGTACATGCCCTTGACTGGAATCGAACCTGGGACCTTTCAGTCCGCAGGCTGGCGCTCTATCCACTGAGCCAAACCGGTTAGGGCACAAAATGAATGTTTCTATCTCTCTCTCCCTCTCTCTCCCTCTCTACACAAAAGTATTTAAAAAATTTCATGTTACCCTAGCCAGTGTGGCTCAGTGGCTAGAGCATTGGCCTGAAGACTGAAGGGTCCCGGGTTCGATTCCCGATCAGGGCACACGCCTGGGTTGCCGGCTCGATCCCCAGTGGGGGGGGTGCAGGAGGCAGCCGATCCATGATTCTCTCTCATCATAGATGTTTCTCTCTCTCTCCCTCTCTCCTCCTCTCTGAAAGCAATAACAAAACATTTTTTAAAGAAATAAATAGGGCCCTAACCGGTGTGGCTCAGTGGATAGAGCGTCGGCCTGCGGACTGAAGGGTCCCGGGTTCGATTCCGGTCAAGGGCATGGACCTGGGTTGCTGGCTCGATCCCCGGTGGGGGGCGTGCAGGAGGCAGCCGATCGATGTTTCTCTCTCATCGATGTTTCTAACTCTCTATCCCTCTCCCTTCCTCTCTGTAAAAAATCAATAAAATATATTTTTAAAAAGAGAAATAAATAGAAACATGCTGATTCTCACCGGCAGATGCAGCTCTCGGTGACGGAGGACGGCTACGTGCATTTCGGGGACAGCGTGATGCTGGTGAACCCCGACCACCCCGAGGTCCAGGCCGACCAGTTTCTCCCCGGAGACCTCAGCCTGTGCCTCACTCCGGACGAGATCAGAGCCCACTTGAGCGACCGGTTCGAGCTGCCCTGCGGCCTGAGCGCCTCGCCCACCAGGACCCCCGTTGGCAGGAACACCTTCACCGTGTTGAGGTGAGGACGCCTCGCATGGCATCAATCGTGTCTCCTTCCCTTGCAGCTCAAGGCCGTCCCGGGGCGGGAGCCGGCGGGCTGCCTGGAGGCGGCGGTCCCGCGGACATTCTAGCTTTGTTCCCTGGAGAGTGACAGGCAAGGGGCCTTTGCTGCTCCTTGGACCTTAACCATCAGGGTCACTTGTCACTCGTGTTCCATTCACAAGGCTCCATTCAGAAACATTGGATCCAGAGGATGAAATTCAACTTCAGTTTAGAAGCAAAGTGGGGTTTCCTCGTCACTCCTGGGTGCTTGGAGCAAAATTGAGGGCTTTCAAAGTTTTTAATGTTATTGTTCACACCGGACATATGTCATTGCATGCAAGGTGGCATCCCATGGGGGTTTGCTATTTTAAAATTCATTGTCCGCTATATCACGGTTCGATTCCCGGTCAGGGGCACAGGCCCGGGTTGTGGGCTCGATCCCCAGTGTGGGGCATGCAGGGGGCAGCTGATCCATGATTTTCTCTCATCATGGATGTTTCTCTCTCTCCCTCTCCCCTCCCTTCCTCTCTGACATCAATAAAAATATGTTTTAAAAAAGTATTCCTTTACTTTGTTGCTAAATTTTGATAGGCACGCTTATATTACAGGAATATAGACTCCAAATCTTGAATTTAGATTTATTTTTGAATACAGGTAATGTATTTATTTTAAGTTGCCTTTGTGTGTATTTATTTACTTATTTATTTATTTTTTTAAAAATATATTCTATTGATTTTTTACAGAGAGGAAGGGAGAGGGATAGAGAGTTAGAAACATCGATGAGAGAGAAACATCGATCAGCTGCCTCCTGCACACCCCCCACTGGGGATGTGCCCGCAACCAAGGTACATGCCCTTGACCAGGAATCGAACCCGGGACCCTTCAGTCCGCAGGCCGACGCTCTATCCACTGAGCCACACCGGTCAGGGCTACTTGTTTATTTTTAATCCTCACCCAGGGATATTTTTCTATTCGCTTTATTTATTAATTTTTTTATCGAGAGCGGAAGAGAAAGGGAGAGACAGAGAAACCTCATGTGAGGGAAACACATCGATGAGTTGCCTCCTGCACACGCCCTGACCGGGCCGGGGCCGGGGAGGAGCCTACAGCCGAGGTCCGTGCCCTTGACCAGAATCGAACCCGGGACCCTTCGGTCTGCAGGCCGACGTGCTATCCACTGAGCTACACTGGCCGGGTCTGAATCCAGGCCTTTGGCCTGAACCTCGAAGTTTCCTGGGGGATTCAGAGGGCAGATAGCATGAAGTGCTACCAATGCCTGGCCTTGGCTTTCTCTAAAGACCTCGCCGTGCCCTGGCTGGTGTGTCTCAGTGGATAGAGCGTCGGCCTGCGGACTGAAGGGCCCCGGGTTCGATTCCGGTCAAGGGCACAGACCTGGGTTGCGGGCACATCCCCAGTGGGAGGCGTGCAGGAGGCAGCCGATTGAGGCTTCTCTCTCATCGATGGTTCTAACTCTTCCTCTCCCTTCCTCTCTGTAAAAATATATCAATAATATATTTT